AGAACAGGTTAACAAAGCATGAAAATTCACTTCACAAAAAATGTGATGCTCCATTTCTCTTCCTTCCTTCACACAGGCAGGCAGGTTCACACCGTGTGTCCTATACAAAAAGGTCAATCAGATCTAGGGGCTCAGTTCATATGAAACACAAAGGTTTAAATGCACAAAGCTTAACGTAATGATCTGGTTCACTATCCTCCTAAGACAAATTGAGCTGCAGAGGAGCCAAACCTACTTTATTGTCATCCAGCACAGAGTGAGAACTAAGCATAATCTTTTGTATCTCTTCTTTTCAAACCTTTTCTTATTTCCTCCTTGAGATTTGCCATGCAAGCTCTCCCCCTACCCAGGAGCTTTTCCCAGGAAATGGGGCGTGAAGGACTATTCAGGTCCGCTCCTTTCCTTTCTGGCCTCTGGATTGCTTCCTGAGGGCAACATGCGTGGTCTAGACTAGCTCTGCTTTGTTCCCTGCCTGTTACAATCATGGAAAAGGGCAGCCAGGAAATATGGGAACTACTCCTAAGATTGAACCTGGATGAAGACTTGGCATATGCCACGTCCTTCTCTAGTGCAAGAACTGTCTGCCTCTCCTTGTATGAGAAGAAACCCCCTCCCCCATACACACACACACACACACACACATACACAGAAACAAACCCTTTCTCACCTGTGGCTCTCTTTCCTTCAAGACTTTTTTGCAGCCTTTTTAACCGCTTGCTAAGTTCAAAGGGTTAAATAGGGAGGGTCCAGCATCCTAGAAAGGCAAGACTTAGTTATGTCACTTCCTTCCCAACCGGCCATTATCCTTATTTTCAACTAATTTCCAAATATTTTAAATTTAATGACCAAAATTCCCCTTATCTCAACTTCTCCCTTTAACCTTCTAATTAGTAATATGAAATCCCCTCTAATAAATCAAAACCCCAATTTTCTTCAGCCTCATTCTGGCTTTCTTCATTTGCCAACTAGCCTTCCATGCCAGTGCTTTTAGATCATCAAATAGATCTCCCTCTATTATTATACATATTATTTGAAATAAGGGAGATCATTTAGTTGCCATTTTTTGGAAGGGCTAGGGTTTTATAAAGCGGTAATAATACTTCGTGTGATCTTGATTCTATGCCTCTGTTTATACAACCCAGGATTGTATTAGCTTTTTTGGTTGCTGCTGCACACTGCTGGCTCATAGTCAAGTGATCGTCCACTAGGACTCCAGGGTCCCTCTCACAGTTACTGTTTTTAAGTCAGGTCTCGCTCAATCTGTATTTGTACCTTTGGTTTTTCCTGCCTAAGTGTAAGACTTTGCTTTTCTCCATGTTGAAACTCATTTTGTTGGATAGGGCCCATTGTTCGAGTTTGTAAGATCTTTTTGGATCCTGAGTTTGTCTTCTGGGGTGTTGGCTACTGACAGCCTGGTGTTACCTGCAAATCTGATGAGTTCCCCTTTAATTCCTTCATCTAAATCAGTGGTTCTCAACCTTTTTAATGCCGCGACCCCAACCGGTCGTAAGTCGAGGACTAAACTGGTCGTAAGTCGAGGACTAAACCGGTCATAAGTCGAGGACTAAACCAGTCATAAGTTGAGGACTACCCAACCGGTCCTAAGTCGAGGACTTTCCCTTCCCGGGAGCGCCGCACATGCGTGGTTCCGCCCCCTGCGCCGGCCGAGGCATAGCTGGCAAGTGGCAGAGACGGAGCAGGCCGACCACCAGCTGGCCCAGCCCAAGGGAGGTAAGGCACCTGCCGCAAAAGGGGAAAAAAATGGCAGACAAAAAAAATGGTGGACAAAAAAATGGCGGACAGCCTTGCTTGGCGACCCCTGTGAAATGGTTGATCGACCCCAAATGGGGTCCCGACCCACAGGTTGAGAACCACTGATCTAAATCATTAATGAAGATATTGAAGAGTACTGGGCCTAAGACAGAACCTTACCTGCTTACTTCTCTCCATGCGGATGTAATGCTGTTCAGGACTACTCGTTGTGTACGGTTTATCTGGGAGAGACATAAAATTACACAGCGGACAAAAAATAATTAGGCAAGAAGAAGTTGCAGAAAAGTTTTTAAACCTTGGCTGGAACTTGAGTAAGCTTCTCAGTATAACTGCAACCTTCAACTATTCAATTTCTTTTATTGTTTAATTAAATTATAGTCTTTCCATTGACTATCATGTTATCTCATTTCTCTTATCCACTTTTTCCCTTGCCTTGCCTTTCATTTCTTTCTGTTTTATTCATCCCTCATAATCCTTCTTTTTCTAGTTTATTGTTTATTACGTAGGGAATACACCTCAGGAAGATGGGCTTGCAGGGAGGAGACAAGATGGCGACACATTAGCAGCTCCTGAAATCAAGTTCTGGCTTGTGACAGGCCTTATCCCTTCTGGCTTACCTCTACGACCCAAAAATTGTCATTCAGAGGCAAGAATCTGGACCAGCCCCAGCAATAATACTGGGACCCATCAATCCGTAGATCAGGAATGAACAGAGAAAAACTTAAGTATAAATTCTCCTTTAACTGCAAGACCTGAAGATTCCAATGGTTTGAAGAGATTCCTCTGGATTTGTAGGTGACAATGCAGGAGGGAAAAAAGAGATTTAGCTACAATTAGTGAAAGAAAGAATGTAGATGGAGAGGAAAAAAAGCGGTTAAAAAGAATTCAGTTAACCTCTCTGCTCTTTTCAGTCTCTTTATTGTCCAGCTTGACACAGAACGATTGACAATTGAATAAAAAGCTTCAAACATGAGCTTCTCAAATCCTTCCAAAAACTTTCATGTGTTAATACATTTTTAAACCAACTAAAGAGTTTAATACATGAGTATAATACATGACTCCAACATAACCACAGCATTGATATTTATTTTTATTTAAATCAAATTTCGACGTCTCCTTAGCCCTCATCACACTATTGAACAGAAAAATGCTTGGGAAAAAAATTGCACAATCACTTGTGGGGTTTCTGGTCATTCTGGCTTCATTTTTGAGAGAGGAATTCTTCATCATTTCAGTTCTTCCCAGACGCTAAACATTGAGGTGCATGTGACAATTCCCTCATACATCTTCAGGCCTTTGAAAATAATGTTCCCTGTTTCTGCATAGATACTGGTTGACTCAGGTCTCAGTTGTACACTGAGGATGCAAATTTGATTATTTTTGGGGTGCCCCAGTTCGACACCAAGGGTGCACATTTGATTTTTATTTTATTTTTTCATTTGTGCTAGGGGAAGGAGCACATGTTGAATATCTTCACATCCTTCTGAGAGCTATGACCAAGTGGGAGAAACATGACAATTGGGGAGCAGGAAGCACATTTCTAAAAAATAAAATAAAATGAACCTATACACACATAAATTCAATAATCTGTAGATAATTATAATTGCCCATTGTTTTTATTTTCATTACTAAATTCATCTCTCTAGGCCTCTAAGTTAGAAGGATGAAACAGACAAAAAAATAACAACCTTCTTTTCAGAGTTCAGTGTGTAAATTGGAAATCGATAGATTGGGCTCACTAAACCTATCATTAGCATACATTCTCACCCAAATGTATCTTTGTTTTGAGGATTGACTTCTCACGTCTATGAATCATGTTATGGGAACTAAGAGTACAGTGTGGGCTGAAATTCTTACCATACTCCATGCATTTCTATGGCTTCTCCCCTGTGTGAATCCTTTTATGGGATGTACGATCACTGCTTGTCCTGAAGCCCTTTCCACACTCCATGCATTTATATGGCTTTTCCCCCGTGTGGAGTCTTTTATGGGAAATAAGACCATTATGTCGGGTGAAGCCCTTTCCACACTCCATGCATTTATAGGGCTTCTCCCCTGTGTGGATCCTTTGATGGGATGTAAGTTCATTGCCTGTCCTGAAGTCCTTTCCACACTCCATGCATTTATATGGTTTCTCCCCTGTGTGGATCATTTTATGGGAAGTAAGATGACTGCTATAAATAAACGTCTTTCCACACTCCAAGCATTTATATGGTTTCTCTCCTGTGTGGATCATTTTATGGGAAGTAAGATTACTAGGTTGGCTGAAGCCCTTTCCACACTCTATGCATTTATATGGCTTCTCCCCTGTGTGGATCCTTTGATGGGATGTAAGATGACTCTGGGTGTTAAAGCCCTTTCCACACTTCATGCATTTATAGGGCTTCTCCCCTGTGTGGATCCTTTTATGAACAGTAAGATACCAGTTTTCATAGAAGCCTTTTCCACACTCCATGCATTTATAGGGCTTCTTCCCTGTGTGGATCCTTTGATGGGATGTAAGATTACTCTGGTTGTTGAAGCCCTTTCCACACTCCATGCATTTATATGGCTTCTCCCCTGTGTGGATCCTTTGATGGGATGTAAATTCCCAGGTCGTTCTGAAATCCTTTCCACACTCTATGCATTTATAGGGCTTCTTCCCTGTGTGGATCTTTTGATGGGATTTAAGATTACTCTGGTTGTTGAAGCCCTTTCCACACTCCATGCATTTATAGGGCTTCTCCCCTGTGTGGATCCTTTGATGGGATTTAAGATGACATGGTTTGCTGAAGCCCTTTCCACACTCCCTGCATTTATATAGCTTCTCCTTTGTGCTTCTCCTTTTATAAACAGTCTTATTTCCATCCTTAGTGCATTTATTTGGCTTCTCTCCCATGTGAAAACTTTTCTGTGACTTAAGAGACCCATTTTCTTGAGAAAGTGTGAAAGTCCCATTGTAATTTTGTCCTTTGTCTTTGGATATATAATCTTGTCCTTTGACTTGGGATAGATGGTGCTCATTTACATCTACTGTGTCTTTGAATAGTCTTGCACCTTTCCTAATGTATTTTTTCTTTTTTTCCCCTCGTTGATCAATAAAGTCCTGCATCTGAACATCAATGGAAGATGAGCTTTCCTTATTCCAGTTATTTGAAGGGTTTCTTTCCTGCCTTTGGAATCCCGTTTGAATTGCAGGCTTCTCCATTACGTCTCTTTGTTTGAACACTTTGATTAATTCTCCAGCGACTTTATTGTCTTTCTCATTATCATCTTCAAAGGAAAAGAGAAATGAAAGTGATAGAAAGGTTAAGGAAAAAGATCACCCTGTCAGAAGTCATATTACAGATAATCCCCGAGTTACGAACCTTCCCTTAGCGAACGTTCAAATTTACGCGATAATCACCCAGTAGTGTTTACAAAAAAGTCCTGAAATTGCGAATGTTTCCACATTACGGCAGTCATTCACCCTTACTAATGACCACAGTAGCCCTGCAACATTCACCCTAGCTATTTCCTCCCCCCACCCTACCCCAGTCTCCCTAGACACTAGGCCTGTGGGTACTCACCTTTGCTTTCTTGGCTGTTCTAGGCCTTTGGTGCGTTCGCAGAGAATGGAAGCCTAAAGTAACACAAGATCACGTGAGATCAGTGATGCGAGATCTCACGCTACTGATTTCGAGTGATCTCACGGTAGTTTAAGCCTCTTTCTCTGCAACAGAGAATGGAATGGAAGCTGGGGGAGGCTTCCGATTGCCTCTGGAGGCCCAATCCGGGCATCGGAGGCCTTTTCCAGGCCATTGCTGCCCAGAAAGGAGGTCAGGGGATGCTTCTGTGGGCCTTCAGAAGTCTGATCTACAGGCCTCCGCCGGCAGAACAGAAGCCAGGGGCAGTGGCCATGTGGCTCCAGAGTTGTGGGGGAGAGAGCAGGAGATAGGCACCACAAGCACCGTGAGAGTTTAGGCAGCCATTTTCTGCAACAGAGGATGGGTGCCTGAACTCGGGCGATATTACAGCACGCAGGAACTTCCATTGACTCTCCTCTCCCTGAAAAGCAGGAACCCGGCAGAGAGGAGATGGATCTTTTAAAGGTAAGTCAATCTGGTGCAGCAGAAATGGAGAGGGAAGTGCGAAGTATCTTTGTGAATCGTGGAGGCCTTGGGGGCCTATTCCATCACTAGGCCCTCCATGGCCTTCCTCATCCTGAGATACCTCATGTGCAAATAATGAACCCCGTATTCACCCAACGCATTCAATTAGCAAATATGTGGGTGAAAGCAGGGAGTGATCTTCTTCGAGATAAAAGATTTATTTCCATAAATTTTTGAGTTACAAATGAAATGGGCAGGCTCCATTATATTTGTAACTCGAGGACTACCTGTAATTGCCTTCAGGTATTTTGCCAGATTCCAATATATTGTATATTTGTATAATTATAATGGTTTGGTATAGAAATGATAATATCACTATTCATGAGGCATAAAAACTTGTAAAAGGCATTAAGTCAAAAAACGTGAAAGGCAATTCTTGATAGGACTGATACGGAAGCATCTGGGCCAAAACAGATGAAAACTGTTTGATGAAGTTTGGTATTACTGCAAACCAAGGAATTACTTTGTCACTAATATGTTTAAATAGAAATAGAAAAACAAATGGGATAGAATATATCTAAGCAGAATGCCATTGACCTATTTCCTTCCTAGGAGTAGTAGAACAGCATGACTTTTCCTTCTCCCTCTGAGGAGAGGATATCTATTTGGAGATGATTTCATAAGAAGTAATCTGTGGCATCTAACTACAAAGCATCTTCATGAACTGTCTGACTGCAGAATAGGAAACCCTTACCAAGAAAGGCCACGTTCTTATAATTGTCCAGCATGACTTCCCAATGCAGCGCTTTCTGGCGAGGATCCAGCAGAGACCATTCCTCCTCTGAGAAATACACAGCCACCTCCTCAAAGGGCAGAAGACCCTCCTGAAAGGCAAAAAAGTACGGAACAGACTGAGGAGGGACTATAGGATCTGTCCTATTGTTTAGAAATTCCCAAAGCAAAGCTAGGCACTAAGGTAAATGGCTATGTTTAGTAGGATTCCATAGTTCAGGTGAGAAAGTGGACAGAAGAAAAAGCTTTTGATTGAAGAAATGTTTTAGACAGGTTTCATCAACTTGAATGATTTTGTAGGATTTTCAGTGCCATTCAGTTAAGTAACCCCAATTTCCTTCTGGATCAACCTCAGGATCCTTCTGGATCTACCCAATATCCAGCCGGCCAGCCAGGATCGATTCATCCATCCTCAATCAAAAGGCACTCAGTGTCAGGAGAGAATCAATTGGCAGGTGGGCCTTGGAAAACCCACCAATCAGTGACACTAACCCGTCCTGAGTTTAACGGCATAGATGTCTCTGTAGGGGAAGGGATTCTTTGTAGAATTTTATGAAATGTCTAAGAAGGAGCAATCCTGTTCATCCTCAACAGCTTCATGGAAGAGCTGGGAGAGATCAGCCAGGGATCTGTGTTGTGTGCCATCAATATCCAGAGACTCTGCCCCTCCTCAGATTGCAAGGAAACTGCTAGTAGTCTGAGCCATTGACTCGACAGTAAATAAGAATTAGGAGAACATTTTTTGAGGAAGGCATTTCTTAGCCTTTGCAAAACTGGATGGTTTGGCCTCCAAATCCAGCCACAAATCAAGGGATTAAAAGGTATTTTGCAAGCCAATTGGGCCTTGATTATGTGCTCTTTCAGAACAATTTTTATTTGGAGGCATTTCTATATGGCCACTGTCCTGGGATTTTAAAAATCTTTGTTCTTAATCACTTATTTTCTTATCAATGGTTGTAAATGAAGCTTTTAAAAATGATAATATCCCGGTGTGAATATTTAAATACTTTTGAGGATCCTTGCACAAATGCAAAGAATTACAGAAAGAATGGGCGCTGTGAAAATATCTGTAAAACATTACTTACTGACAAGTTGGGAGAATAATTAGGGGAAAGACTTTTGTTTTTAAAGTACTAGTCTTAAAAAAAAAATCCTAAAAAAATCCCCAATCAAAAGCAGAGGGAACAAAGGAAAAAGGCAGGAGAGATAGTCCTCAACTTACAACAGTTTTTAGTGACCGTTCAAAGTTACAACAGCACCGAAAAAAATGGCTGATGCCCAGTTTTCACACGACTGTTGCTGCATCCCCATGGTCACATGATCAAAATTCGGATGCTTGGCAACTGACTCATATTTATGACGGTTCCAGGGTCCCCGGGTCATTTGATCACCTTTTGTGAAGTTCTCAGAGCAAAATCAATAGGGAAGCCAGATTCACTTAACAACCATATTACTAACTTAACACCTGCAGTCATTGATTTAACACATGTGGCAAGAAAGGTTGTAAAATGGGGCAAAGTTTACTTAACAAATATGTTGCTTAGCAACAAAAATTTGGGTTTCAATTGTGGTCATAAATCAAGGACTACCTGTACTATGTACATCAGCTGATTTCCCGAGGGAAAAGGAAAATACAAATCTAGTAAATGAATGTTCTTCTCTTACCTGAGTTGGAGGTTCAATCACAGTTTCAGTTCCCCCAAAACAAAGCCTCAACTTCCTTTTATTCTTCCCTGTGAGGGAGACAGAATTTCAGGAAGCATAATTAATGAAATGGGAGGAGGTATGCTACTGAAAGAAAACACAGAAGATAAGAAAGTTAGGATTCATCAGAAGAGTGGAAGGACCTTATTATTACCTCTTGAGGTGTCCTGATTTGGATCTTCCTGAGAGATCCTCCTGAAAAACAGTTCTTGAGGGAGATTTGATGGATGCCTCATTCTCTCAGGATCTCTGACGTCCATTGTAAAGGACTTGAAATAGTATGAAGGAGAAAAGAATTAATGGTCATCACACATCATGAAGTGGTTTCTCACTGCAAAGGACTCAGTGTTGATCAATTAGGCTGGGAAGTAAGAAATAAATGGCTCTGCAAAACCTTTCTTCTAGCAAGGATAAGCAACTATACAAAGATTAGTGAAGCATCTCCACATAGTATGAATGCCAGGGAACTCTGCTAAGGAGCTATTAAGAATTTGAACATGTTGATCCAATGGCAAAGAATTTTGTGTATAATATAATGACTGAACAACTGGAAGATATTTGGATGAAAGCTTTAAAATTTATATTAAATTATAATTTAAAAGAATTTTTTTTATAAAATGATGTATCATTCTATTTAATGTGTGATAACTGGCCAAAGATGAATAAAGGAAATTCAAATACATGTTCAAAATGTAAATGTAAACAAGAATCTTTTTACCATCTTTCCTGGACTTGTGACAAAGCAAAGAAATACTGGTGTAAGATTTATATTTTACTGCGGAAGATTCTCAAAGTGGGTAAAAAAATAAAACCAGAAACTTTAATAGACAAGAGATGGAAAACCAGTCTCAAACTTTGCTGTTATATATGTTGAGAGCATTAAGAATGCTGGAAAATCAATACAAGCCAGGTGGTCAGAAAAGCCCAACGGAGACTCCACTTCCTCAGGGTCTTCCGGAAGAACAGGGTAGAACAACTAATGACCCTCTTTTACCGGTCTACCATAGAAAGCGTCCTCTCACACTGTATCGTGGTTTGGTATGCTGGCTTGACAGCCGCGTATAGGAAGATATTACAGAGGGTGGTGAGCACAGCACAAAATATCGTGGGCTGCCCCCTGACACCACTGGATATCGCCAGGGCCCGCTGCCTTGGAAAAGTGAGGAAATTTCTCAGGGATGACTCATACCCTGGTCAGTACCTCTTTATTCTTCTACCATCGGGTAGAAGATATAGAGGTATAGCCAGCCGCACCAACAGGCTGAAGAATAGTTTCTATCCAATGGGCTGTCAGGCTCCTGAATGGGAATAACCTTATGCAGGATAGACTTGCAAGGCTGGCGCGTAGTGCAATTAGCTCACATGGTGTAATAAGATGGTGGGATTGTTGTCACTGTGAATTGCGGTGGGGGGGCACAAAGGGACGCTCAGCCAATCTCATTGTATACATGTTGTACTTTGATAATAAAGGTTCATTCAAATTTTTGCACAAAAAATGGAAGGATACTTTAATTGCCATAATGGAGAAGTCGCTGGAAAAACTGATGGAACTAGCAGAGATGGCAAAATTAACTGCTTTAATTAAAGAAAAGAACATACCCAACCTTGTTTCTAATTGGAAATCGCCTCTGGATTTTTTTTCTTGGGATAAAAAAAAATGAAAGTTTCTTGTTATAGAATGGCTAGTTTTAGTACAGGGGTAGGCAACCCAAAATACTCAAAGAGCCACTTGGACCCGTTTCCCATCAAAAACAAAACACTGGGAGCTGCAAAACCCTTTTGATATCTAAAATGAAGATAACACTGCATATATCCTTTTTTACCTTTACTCATAAAGGTAAAAAAGGATATATGCAGTGTTATCTTCATTTTAGATGTCAAAAGGGTCTCTCTCTCTCTGTCTCTCCCTCCCTCCCTCCCTCCCTTTCTCTCTTTCTGCCCTTGGTCTGCCAGTCCTCTTCCCCCACTATTTCTCTCTCTCTCTCTTTCCTCTCTCTCTCTTTCCCTCCCTCTTTCTCTCTCCCTCTCTTTCTCTCTCTCTTTCTCTCTTTCTTCCCCCCCCTCTCCCTCTCTCCAATCTTCTGATCACCTGGCAAGCTGGC